TTTTTTCAACCACTCCCAGGGCCTGACCGCTGACCCTGAGCTTCTTTTGTTCAAGGCTAGCACTCCTACCACTTGAGCCACAGCACCCCCTCTGGCCTTTTCTATGTATGTAATACTGAGGACCTGAACCCAGGGCTTCATGCATGTGAGGCAAGCAGTCTACCACTAAACCACATTCTCAGCCTTGAACCACAATTTTTATACTTCAGCCTCCTGAGTAGCTGGGATGACAGATGTGAGCCATCAGCGCCCCGCCCTGCCTACCTCTTTTTATAGAAAGCTGCAGAGACTCAGACACATGAAGAACCAGGGAGTAGGTCAAGCAAGACTAGAACCTTCCAAATGGCTTTAGGCACTTCCTGCTTCCTGCACAAAAGATGCCAGGTTTTGGAGTTGGAGGCGGGGCTCCATTGGAAGAACTCTAATCAATGAGCAAAAGTGGCAGGTCCTGAGTTCAAGTCCTAGTCCTGAACCTGAAAAAAAAAAAGGGAAAGAAAAATGCAAGGCTTTGTCACTCCTGGGCCACACTTGGAAGCCACATTTCCCTGTGAGAGGGTAAGCTCCTCACCAACAACCTCCCCCCCCCCCCCCACAAAATCTGCTGTTTTCTCCCTGTGAGTCCAGACTTGCTGTGCCCGGTCCTCAGCCAGAGCTCAAGAAAAGCTAGATAGAACAGGAGGTTCAGGTTGCAGAGCGCATGCGTGACGTGCCCCAATGTGGCATACGGCAGGTAGGCAGCACTGGAACATCTGCACAGGATGCTGGGACACCAGGACTGGCACCCAGGGTGTTGGCAAGCCCCTGTGGATGGCAGACTGGCAGATCAGAGGGAAATGCAGGCAGGGAGCTCGCTGCTCATCCTTTCTTGCCAGGACTATGAGTCAGTCAAGTCCCGCCAAGAGGCGAGCATCCCTTAGTTGAAGCTTTCTCTCTGATGGTCCCTATCCTGAGAAATAATGCTACTACTTCCACTCCAAGGCTGCCCTGCACTGACTCTGCCCTCTGGCCACGGTGGACGCAGACCTGTTCCAGCTGACCTCTGCCTGCTCGCTCACTCTCTGAATCGCTGAGCTGCGGCCATATCAGCCTGCCTTCCTATCCCAAAGAGCCAACTCCTCCTTCTCTCAAAAGTAGACAGAAGCTGGGGTTAGGTGGTTCAAGTCTATAATCCTCACTATTCACGAGGCTGAGATCTGAGGATCTTGGTTCCAAGCCAACCCAGTAACCCTTGTGTGTGTGTGTGTGTGTGTGTCCTTAATTTGTAACAGACCCTTACAAGGTGTAAATGGTAAATCCTCCTTTGCAACCAGAGCTCACTGTTGACGATGAGATTTTGGGACATGTAAGAAGGAGTATGATTCCCACAATACAATGTGAGGGTTAGTAAACTCACACCGGTTGGCTCTGAGAATAAAGTTGAGGTAAAAAGCAAAAACGAAAAACAAAACAAAACGAAGCCAGCTCAGCAGGAGACTCATCTCCAATGAGCCACCAAAAAAAAAAAAAAAAACCAAAAAGCAGAAAACGGAAGTGAAACTGTGATTCAAGTGGTAGAGTGTCAGTCTTAAGTGAAAAAAGCTAAGGGACAGTGCCCAGGCGCGCACGTGCGCACACACACACACACACACACACACACAGAGTCGATAGAAAAAGCTGGGCAGAGTGCACACCTCTGTCATCCAGCCATTGGAAGGCTAGAGGCCTGTAAGTTAGAGGACAGCGTGAACTCCATAGCAAGTTTCAGGTAAGCCTGAGTTACAAGGCCAGACCTTGTCTAAATGAAACAAAACAGTAGACAGACTGAGGCAAGAATAGATGGAAGCACTGACTACTTTTAGCTTGAGCTTTGTCTTTCCTTCTAGTCTCCATCTGTGCCTATCCTTGGGGTTGTTTGGAATATCATCCATTAGTAACAGAAAGCCACTTGTGGACAGCTTTCTCCCACTTGCTGATGGGGAGAATAAAGCTTGGAGAGGCAAAGGAAACTCTCCAGGTCATAGGGAGACTAAGTGGCAGAGCAGAATCTAAATTCTAGGCCTACTGGATTCTAGAAATTACTATCTCAAGGACTTGAGAGATACAAGGAATCCCAGCCCAAACTAGCTGACTTCTATGAATCTGAAGAAAAAGTGGCAACAGCTCGCCACCTAGTGGTATCCTGTGGTATAACTGGTTGGTGTTGCCTGGTGGTCAATGTCAGCTTGCTAGAGAAAAATCCCACATTTGACCTGTGCTTCTATGCTAAACTTTTGATTATAAGCCAAAGTCTCCCCAATATTTACTGTGACAAATATCAAGCCTCTAAATTAGCAGACAGAATAATAAATACCTGCTCAAATTTCAAATTCTTTCCCCGTTGACATTTTGCCACATTTACTTTGTCTCATCTTTTTACAATTTTAACTGGACAGACTATTTAAGAGTAGTTTTCAAGGGCTGGGAAGGTGGCTCAGTGCTTGCCTCTCATGCATGAGGCCCTGGGTTCAATTCCTCAGCACCACATAGCAGAAAAAGCCGGAAGTGCAGCTGTGGCTCAAGTGGTAGACTGCTACCCTGGGGCTGAAGAGCTGAGGGACAGCACCCAGGCCCAGAGTTCAGGCCCAAAGACCAACAACACAACAACAAAAAAGTAGTTTTCAGCCTGTACTCATAGCTACTGGGGAGGCTGAGGCAGAAGAATCGCAAGTGTGAGGCCAGTTTGGACAATACAAGAAGATTCTGTTTCAAAAATAAATCAGTAGGGCTGGGAATGTGGCTCAATGGTAGAGTGCTATGCCCAGCAGGCATGAAGCCCTGGGTTCAATTCTGCTAGACCCCATAATGACTATTATTCCTAAGTTGCCTACAAGGAAAATAATGTATCCTGTGGATTTAGCATATAACTTCTGCTTTCCAATTTTAGACTGCATTCCAAAATGTACTGGTTTTATAATACTTTAAGTATTTGCTATCAAGGAAAATAAATATTCTAGGAAGATGAGCCATTTTTTACCTTGTGGCAACAAGTATGTCTGCTCATACCTCAGGAGAAAACAGGCCAGGTTTAGAAATTATGTTAAGAGGGGCTGGGAAGGTGGCTTAGTGGTAGAGTGCTTGCCTTGCCTTGCATGCATGAGGCCCTCGGTTCGATTCCTCAGCACCACAAGAGGGGCTGAGGTTCAAGAGGTAGAGCGCTAATCTACAGCTGAAGAGCTGAGGGACAGCACCCAGGCCCAAAGTTCAAGCTCCACAACTGAAAAAAAAAAAGAAAAAAGAAAAGAAAGAAAGAAAAGAAAAAGATGATGCTGGAGATACAGCTCAGTGGTATGGTATTTGCACTTAATTTTGTCTATGCTGAATTTTGTTGTTGTTGTTTTTTGTTTTTTTTTTTTGGTCCGGTCGTGGGGCCTGAACTGTGGGCCTGGGTGCTGTCCCTCAGCTCTTCAGCTCAAGGCTAGCACTCTACCACTTGAGCCACAGCGCCACTTCCGGCTTTTTTCTTTTTGCTTATGTGGTGCTGAGGAATCGAACCCAGGGCCTCAAGCATGCAAGGCAAGTGCTCTACTGCTGAGCCACCTTCCCAGTCCCGTCTATGCTGAATTGGAACTCAATATCCTCCCTCTTTTGCCTGAAGAACAGCTGGGATTGCAGTTGTGGGGTTAGCCATGCCCCTGGTAACTTTACTATAAGCCCACATCTAGCCTAAAATGTATGAGGATTTTCTAAAAATAAAATTGTACCTTTAAGCAACTGAGGAACCAATGTGTGGGTACTTGGTTATAGTTTCCCATCCATATTGTCCACAAAATGTCAGGTTTTATGTAGTTTTGTGTGTTTTTTTTTTAAAGGTACAAGGGGTTGAATGCAGGGGCTCAGCTTGCTTGTTTGCAGTAGGCATTCTACCACTTGAGACACACTTCCAGCCTGGCTTGTTCGTGCACTGGAAATGGAATCTCTAGGCCTTTTCTGTCCTGGCTGGACTCCAACCAAGATCCTCCAGAAACCAGCCTCTTAATAGCTAGGATTACAGGCATGAGCTACGCTGCCAGGATGACACACACTTTTACTTTCTTAGGTTTGCAATGAACTCATTTTTTAAAAATTTAATTTTCAGCTTCCTGTATTTGTGTGTATGAGTTCTTGGGCTTGAACTGAGGGCCTGGGCGCTGACCCTGAGCTTTTTTTGCTCAAGGTTAGCATTCTACCACTTGAGCCATAGCTCCACTTCTGGGTTTTTTAGTAATTCATCGAGATGAGCGTCTGGCGCTACACCACTGCCACGGTTTTCCCATTTCTGACACATTCATTTCTCGTACTAAATTTAGAGTATCAGGAAACATAGGTCCACTTTTAATCTAGTAGTAATTGTCCAATGTTTTGGTTTTAGGTATTAAGAGAAAATAAGAAGCTGGGCACTGGTGTCTCATGCCCGTAATCCTGGCTATTCAGGAGGCTGAGATCTGAGGATGGAGGTCCAACTAAGCAACAAAAGGCTCCAGGGGTGGAATGCTAACTTTGCACAGAAGTGCAGGAACAGCAACCAGTCCCTAAGTCCAAGCCCCAGGACCATAAACACACAAACAAAACACCAGATATGGAAGAAAGGGGAAAGGCCGGGTATCCTCACGGACCCCACCAGGGGCTCAGAGTGGGCTCAAAGCCATCGCTATGAGTGGGGACGGAGAAAAGAACACGAACACAACCCTCCTCAACTTTGAAGACCAGAGATGTTGGGATGTAGCTCAGTGGCATCCTGGGTTCGATCCCCAGTACACCCCCCCCAAAAAAAAAAGACAAGAAATAGTCTAAAAAAAGACAACAACAAACAAACTCAAACGAGAGACAGCCCCTCCGTTCGGGTCCGGAATCTGGAGATGTAAATCCCACCACCCAGAAAGCATCTCAGGGACCGAGCTGGGACTCCCGCCCCGGGACCCGCGCCTGCGCGCCAGGTTTTCCTCCCACGCTCCGAAGCAGCGGCTACCCAACTTCCGGCCTCGGCCACGCCCCCTCGCGTTGCCATGGAGACCGAGCGGCCCAAGCCCGCCGGTGGCGACGCCGACGGAGCGGGTCCTCTCCGTCCGACTGCGGGGCGGCGTCCGGGGGCCGCAGCCATGGAGTTCTCCAAAAAGAGCGTGGAGGCGGCGGGGAAGCGTTCGGGGCTGGGCCGCTGCCGGCATTTCTTCTGGCTGGGGGTGGCCTTCGACACGGTGGGCGCCACGGTGCTGCTGACGGGCGTGTTCGCCGACCTGCTGTTCTACGACGTGCTGCTCTACCTGGGCGCCATCATCCTCTTCATCAGCCTGCTGTGGTGGATCTCCTGGTACACCGGCAACATCGAGCTGCTGCCCGACGACGACGACGACGACGCCGCCG